ACCTCCCCCACCATTTTATGTGCTGATTCATATAATTGTTCTGATGGAATTTTTTTTAAAAAGCAGTATGTGTAAAAATATAATTTTTATAAAGACATGAATGGATTTTTCTTTATTCTTCACTCCTTCACTTACAAGAAGAACATAATTTAATCAAGACCATTGTGACCATGCACATTTTAGGAAGAGAAAAAGTGGTCATTTATGAAGTGTCTTGGTGGGTGAAATTACAGAGAAATAAGCTTCATTTTAAAGAAGTATTCTGGGTACCTCTAACAAACTCTATGAGATTTTTCACTCAAAGGGTCAAGTAAGTTCAAGAAACCCAGTATATTATTCTAGGATCTTCATACTGCATGTGACTTTGTTAAAGGCTCAGAAATTCTAGAGTAAAGGAACAAAATTTGTTTAATCTGATTCAACTCAGGGTCTGCCAAAATTCAGACTGCAGAATCTGTTCTGGGAGTAGATACTAATGTTATCTGGAACCAGAATGCAGACTACTTACTGAGAATAAGCTCAATGATAACATTTATATACAAGAGCTGGTACAAGTTTTTTCATTCAGTTTGCAGAGAGTGTGTAATGATTACTAAAGCCAAAACAACTCGCCAATCCAAGCTATGAATGCTTTCTAGAGATTACGAGACCTGCCCGGTTTGGTTAATACTCACTGCCAGGAGCAGACGATCTCTTTCAATTAAATCAGCCAACTTGTATAACAGCCGTCCTCTCTCTGAAGCATCCATAGTTCGCCATGGAGATCCAATCTGAAAAGCTTCTCTTGCAGCCTTCACTGCTTTGTCAACATCCTCCTGTAAGTCACAGGGAGTTCAATTCGTGAGCTAAACGTATTAGCAGGTCCAAAGGCAATAACCCTATACAGTCAGTAGACCGAAGCCCCTCATAAGCAAGTACTGTGTCTTCATCAGCTCAAAGTCTACCACATCGTACAAACTCAAATACCACATATTGGAATTACACCTGCTGCCTAATCTTTGGAATGATGTGTTCCATACACATAGTACATGCTGGATTTCCTAGAATAGTAATATATTTCAATAGTTGCTACCATTGGAGGGCTTACCATATATCAGGTGACATTCCAATAGCTTTACACACATTAACTCATTTAATTCCCAACGATTTTATGAGACAGACACATTCTGCCTTTTACAGATGAAGAAACCAAAGCAAAGAGGAGATTTGCCTAAGCTCAATAGCTGAATTTTTAAAGGTATTGATTAATATTAATTCAATGATTTTTAATGAATAACTTGGCAATATATTGTTACAAAAGTTCTATATTAGGTTTTCTTTAGTTTCTCTTTGCAATTTAAGAAAAAATATATGAAGAAAGGATATTTCTGCTTTTTTAAACCTATGACCAATCACTTCATATGCAGTCTGTTTGTACAATAAATATAGACAAGATTTTAACTGAAAAGCAAGCAAGGAAAATAACATGATAAGAATCACCACACCCAGAAGCACCAGCTCATCATCATTACATGACTCCTGAGCGCACTTTATGTACCAAGACGCCCTGGAAACCATATTTTCATGACACGTCTATTTGAACATGGAATGAGGGTTGGGAGCTCAGAATGGTAAGAAATAAAGAAACCTGGCATAAAATGGAACTAGTGTTAGAAAACTCACCTTATCTCCTTCTTCCACCTCACAGAGTTTCTCCTCAGTTGCAGGATTAAAGACCGGAAATTTCTTGCCACTCACTGAATTATGCCACTCATTGTTTATGAAGATCTGTAGATACAGAGAGATGGTAAGTAAAAAGGCATTTAAATGTGCAGCAAGGTGGGGTGGGTATAGCTCAGTGGCAGAGTGCGTGCTCAGCATGCATGAGGTCCTGGGTTCAACCCCTAGTCCTCCATTAAAAAGAGAAAAAGAACAATAAAAAACAATTAAAATTATGCAGTAAATTTTGGACACTCTTTTACAAACTAAAGCACTACAGAACACCTAAGTGAAGCCAGTGTTACAACCTCACCTTCTTCACATGCCCCCTCCAAGAGGTTTTTGGCTGTTGAAGACACTTTACACACACATACACACATCACACACTAAAACAAAAAAATTTCACTGAGATGTGAGGTTATTTAAAGAACAGAAAATACAGACTGGAGAAAACAATCTAGAAAGAGATGCTGTTATCTGAAATAACCATGAATTTGAGGCAAAAGCAAAGGCTTAAGTCGGCTTGGTTTTTATGAATCACTGTTTTCTACTTCAGGTTCTGAACATGCTCATTTTTGGCTACTGGTGATTTGGTAGCATAAGTGACTATTTTCTGATCCTTTATTTTACTGTCTCAAAAGTAGCCTGAGGGAGGATTTTAAAAGAAGATTGCTTGGAAAAAATTTGGCTAGTGATATATTTTTCATTGACCTTTTGAAGACACATGGGTTTCATTCTCCTTTTTAAAAGATTATCTAATAATTTATTTGTCTTCAGATGAAATCAAGTACTAGATTTCTTAGTGATATCTATGAGAAAGAGACATGCATCTAAAGAAATGGAGGTGTCCAGAAAACACTGGAGTTTTGTTCTGTGTACGCAATAAAAGAACAGGAATATTAAGAAGTGTTAGTATGATTCAGCCATAAAAAAAATGAAATTTCGCCATTTGCAGCAACATGGATGGACCTGGAGGGCATTAGGCTAAGTGAAATAAGTCAAAGAAACACAGTTACTGTGTGATATCACTTCTTTGTGGAATCTAAAAAATACAACACTCTAGTGAATAAAACAAAAACGAAGCAGACTCACAGATACAGAGAACAAACTAGTGGTTACCAGTGGCGGGGAGGGGGCAACATAGGAGTAGGGGATCAAGAAAAAGTTATCATGGGATAATACGAAATTATGTGTGTGAAATTGCTGAAAATTGTAAAGTACTATAGAATTTAAAGAACATTTCATTCAATACAATTTTTCTTTTAAAAAGAAGGGTTAGTATGTTATCTTCAAAGTCTGCTTCAACTTTTGCAGCCCTGAATTTGCATTTCATTATGGAGCCTGACAGAACTTTGATATCTCATTCATCTTTTCCTAGAGTAAAAATATTTAATGATGCCAAATTAAGAATTACCCCTTTTGTTATGAATAAGGTTATACTTTGTTTCTGACAAAAGCTAGAATTTCTTCTCAATCCTCTCATCCCATTATTTCTTGTTTATTTTCCTTTTTCTTGTTAAGTATTGAGTACAGTATTGAATAATATGTATTGTAACTTTCTGTCATATTTTTACAACATGAACTAGTTTATTTAATTTTAAGCCATAAGTACTTGATCCATGTGGCTTTAAATAAAAGGTGACATACGCACTGGGTTTATAATATATATCTTAATTCAGATACCTCCTCTTATTTAATTTTTAAAGATGTTATTAATAGTGCAATTTTGAGGGAGAATGTGTTGAAATACTGCCCTCTAAAGTTTAAATTTGTTGTTATACTAAATATAAATTATTTAGCTATTAAAAATTCCCCAGTGACAGCTATCAAGATTACACATTGTTAAATTACTTACATTGTGCATATTTGAAATAAAAGTAGTCTTTTTAATTAAACTATGAGTTTGCACTGACTTAGCTATTCCATTTTACAGTGTCCAAATTTAGCTTAAAATTCTGCCAAACTAATCAAATGTATATTACCATGCATCCCCAAATGCTTAAGTATAGTTAATTCTATATTCTGTGATTTACAAGATTATTACAAAAAATATCCCTGGTCTCCTACATTTTTATTGTAACATTTGTCACTTTTTAAAAAGTCATTTTTAAATGTCTGCCTTCCCTTCTAGGCTATAAGTTCTATAAAATAAGGTCAAGGATTGTTTTTCTGGTTTATCCTCAGTGTCCACCACAATTTCAGCCCTGAAATGATTTTAACCTCAGTAATGAATTATTGAATAAATAACTTAAAATTGAATTAAACAACTCAAAATTCAGTAGCTTCACATGGGTGAGATCTATACTATACTACACATGAGTATAATATACTGCACATGAGTACACGCTGATTTTTGATTTGCTAAAACACAGAAGAAGGATATTTGCCTGTTCAAGCCAATACAACCCATTTATTTGGAGACATTCAGAAGAATTGTAGTACTGACAGCAAAAAGATGTCGGCATGAATAAATAAAGGGGCAGGGGGTTCCAAAGCAGTTCAGATGAAGAGACTAGATGTTCAAAGACACATATATGGAGGCTTGAGAAAGTTAGAAGTATCAAGAAAATCCTTGTTTCTCTGATGGGGTAATGGGATACAAAGACTGTAAAACTATTAGTCTTGAAGAAAGAAAAAAAAAAACCTGGCATCTTAGTTCAACTTGAAGAAAGATAAATTCAGATTAAAATACTGACTTGCCCAATGCCTCTTGGAGTGAATCAGCATTATAGCTATCAAAAACACATTTATGTATAAAATAGATAAACAACAAGGTCTTACTGTATAGCTCAGGGACCAGTAGCTACGTCCTACTGTACAGCACACACGTGTGTGTGTATACATATACACACACACACATATATACATATATATGAATCACACACACAAATGAATCACTATGCTGTACACCAGAAATTAATACAGCATTTTAAATCGACTATACCTCAATTTAAAAAAAAAAGTATTTGTTGCCTCAAATCCTGAGGCAACAAAACAGAATGTTGATACTCAAAGTAAAGTAAAAAAAAAAAAATCTAAAAGGAAATTAAGGAGGAAATAACGAAGGAGAGGAAAATATTTAACTGCAGTCAAAAGAATTAAAACAAAATGAGGTGACCAAATCAAAAGCAAGAGAAATAAAATTTTCCTTCCATTTCTGTTTTATATTATAGTCTGACTTCAGTAACATGAGTCACTCTTCTTTTTTGCTGTTTGAAAAAGCCTTTCAACCTTTTTTAACTCAATAAGGGGAAAAGAAATGATGCTAAAGTATTTCTGCTTTGAGCCACACCTACGTTTTGTCCCACAGATGACAAGCATGCTGGTCAACCATTCCCACGAATCATGTACACCCTATGCAGCGCCGCGTGCTGCGCCCTGTGAGGGGCTCGGTCAGTCGCGTCGGACACCGGACTGGGACAGAGGTAGAGTGAGTGTTAAATAAACGGGAAAATAAGTGTGTTCTCACTTCTAGCGGGGAGGGGACCCCCTGCTCCCGGTGGTCTCCGGTCCCTTTAAGGGTCGCACTCAGCGCGGCAGGCTCGGCGCGACCCTCCAAGCGCGGCGGGGGCGGGGCTGCGGCGCGCCCCGCGGGGAATAATTTAAAGGCGCCGCGCCTGAGGCGCTGAGCGGACGCCCGCGGAGTTGGTGCGGAGTGGGCCCCGGCGGCGGCGGGCTCCCGGTGAGTCCCGGTTTCCTTCGCCCTCTCAGAGGCGTCCCTTAGGAGGTCGTTAGCGAGCCCTCCGCCAAAGGCAGAAGCATTAGAAAGTTAGATGAGGTAAGATGCAGAAGCACTAGAACGTTCTGTACATATTTACTGTTTAACAATATCAAGACCCAATAATATAATTGCTTGCATTTAAGGCTTCTTTCTAAAGAAAAGTGCCAAATGTAGAGCATAATTTAGTTGTTTGATATTTGTATTCCTCTGACTTCTGAGGAAGTATTTGATAAGCATAGAAATAGTGAATGTACCTAGGGGGAGGCAGCTGCTCAGGCGAAGTTTTAAGAAGTGTGCTATTGTGCAGATACCCAGACGAGAAATTTTCATTAACAACTCCAATTTAACAAGGAAGGCATCTGATAGAGATATTATAATATGAGAGAACGAAATATTAGAACACTTCACATACCTTGCAATACCAGTATTTGCGGGAACTTTTGACGCACACACACACACAGCACGAGTGCACGCACATGCTCAAAATACCAGTATGATGAAATCCAGATTTACACAAATATTTACTTTTCTGATTTGTTTAATTAGGTGTTTAATTATGAAGCAATTATTGCTCATGTTCCTTTGAATATGGCTCTGTGTTGCCACTGGAATCGGCTAAATGTGTAATGCGTTTGGCCACAATTACAATAGCGTCATGAAAACCCAAACCACTGCCATCAGCACCACCACCCCAAGCCAGACAGCTGCTGTTCTGAGACAAGAGTATGGCTGCTTTATGAATGCCTGTATTTCCATGAGGTGCTTTTATGCTGATCTATCTGTATTACAACATCCCCATAGATTACCCGTGGCATTTCAGAGGCACTACTTTTTACTTGGGTTTGCTCTTCAAACGAGCTGTTTCTCATAATCTTCAAGAGGTTTTCTCACCCTGCTTCCTCATTCTGGTAAGTGGTTAATGGCAAATTCATTAGGTGTAGTCCAGTTTAAAGAAATCATGTGCACATTCGTAATACTGAGAGGCCTTATGAAATGGGGATAGCACCCTCTTTTAAGATACATGCTCTTTATGTTAGGATTCTTGTTGATTAGGTGTTCTTGAAGCCAGGAAAGTGCCAGAGAACAAAACAATTTGCCACGACACAGTCTTCAGAGATGAGCTAAAATATTGCATTCTTAGAGAATGTTTGTCTCCCAGGAGCAAAATCAGTGGTTGGCTCCATCACTGGTTTGTGGCCATGATCTAGTTCTTGCTGGACTCTGGCACTTTCTGAAAGAGAAAGTAAATGCTTCTGACCTGGCTGGGTGCAAGTGAGTTTCTGGGAGAAACAGGAAGTCAGATCCCTAAGTAATTAGATGGTGATCACTGTAGGTAAAGTTAGAAGGCTGACCTAAAACTGTTAGACAATTGCTGCTGGCCAACAGACCGTGCTTTGAGTAGCATCAGCAAAACTCAAAAGTCCGTTAGAAATGCAGAATCTCAGACGTACAGCATCAGAATCTGCATTTCAGCATGGTCCCTAAGTGATTCACTTGCACATTCAAATTTGAGATGTACTGCTTTAGAGTATCTTCTTTCTGTTGGTCCACTTGTTCAGGGATCTAGTGTCCAAATCACCTCTCTTCTCTTATCATCCAAATTTCCATTCTCTCAATCAGAGTAAAGGATGAATGGTAAGTAACATGTGCGAAAGCCTTTGTTAGAGACAAGCCAATGAGATTCAAGTACTACTATTTTTAGTGTTTAAGGAAAAAATGAAATCATGTGGAGAAGGATCAGATCTGAAATGAGGAGATTCAGGAATCCAGCTGACTCTATCTTTGCCTCTGAAAAGCTGTGTGACCTTAAGCGAGTCACTGAAGCTATCTGAGCTCAGGTTCGTCAGTTTTAAAATGGGACATGAGTAATATCTTCCCTTGCTCTTCCCCAGTGGTTAATTATGAACTTCAAATGAGAGCAATAGATGAAAGTAGTTTTGAACTGTGACAGAGCAGTGCAAGTATTCGTTCCACTTACATCAGCAACTGGAAACAATTTAGAATTCTAGGAGTCATCTTGGGAAGGAGAGGGTTAAAGAGAGCCTGGACTAAGGAGCCAGTGCCTGGCACTTTCTACAAATTACCTCACTTAATTCTCACAGCCACTTATATCGTTAAATACATAAAAGAGCTGGAAATCGAAGCTGGATTTATCCTGTTAAGCCACTGCACCCTGTAGCCGTCCAGCTATTTGTTCAACTGCTTCCAAGCCGAGAGCAAACAAAATATTGCTTTAGTCAGAAAGGAGCTAAAAAGATTTCCCTAATGAAAGCAGCATCACTGCACAATCAGCTTTGTCTTGGACCTAAGTCCTGTCCTGTTTAAGTACCCCTCTGTGGTTTCTTTCAAATGAAATCCATCAGGTAGTCGGACTTCAGCCTCTATCTGCAGTCTCATCTCATCCACACTTTCTCTTTCTTACTTGATTCCAGCCATGTTAGCCTTTTGATGGATCTTTGAACACACCAAGCTCTTGTCTGCAGACGTCCTTGCATGTGCTGTTTATTACCTATAGATCTTGGTTTCCCCTCATTCCATGGCCACCTTATGCTCTGATTCCCTCAGGCTTACCTCAGTTGTCCCCTCCTTAAAGAGATTGCCCTGACACCACATCAAAAGTAAGCTCTTCCCCTCACATTCTCTCAACTTTCAGTTTCCTTCTTTTCAGCATTTAGCATTTAGTCATTTGTGATTAAAGTATTCACTTACTTGCTGGTTTTCTTCCCACCCCACCCTCCACCCCCTCCAGGAATATAAGCTCCTTGTGGCAAGAATCGTACTAGCCTTTTTATATCAAAAGACCTAGCACAGGACAGCCATTCAGTGAACAATAAATAAAAGTAAGGGGAAATGGAAGGAAGGAAGGAAGGGAAAAGGGGAGAAAGGAATGCAGAGGCTGACGTCTTTGTCAATGCACGTGGCCTGAATTTGTTGGTTGTAAGAATTTAAAAGGAGATAATGATGAGGAAAAAAAAAACAACAACACTTTAAATTGTGCCTAGCACATAGTATTCAATGATTTGTAACTCTCCTTTATCAAAAATAAATCTTTAACCCAGATGGGTTAAACAGTAATACCAGAAACCTGGGAAAGTATCTCCTCCTCCAACCAAAATTATTCCCTAGGAGTTCAAGAAATACTGTTCACGTAGAGATTGCACACCAATGTCAAAGTCCTCTGTACCACAGGCTCTCCCAGCCCAAACTCCACACTTTGATCAAAATATAAGGTCTGTTTGCTTCCAACCTTTATCACTGTTCTCCTCTTTTTCGAAGTTGGTGGCAAACTTCCTTCCTGTTGGCCTGGAAACAGCTGAGCGGCAGCTGGGAAGGCTCGTGGGCATGTCTCCTCTGGGAATCGAGAATGGACCGATGAAAGTCAGAGTAAGGAAGACAGGACAGGATGCCAGCGGCTCCACATCCCCAAGTCATGGCATTGGTCTTAGACACGTCACTGTTGGTGTGAGGGCTGAGACTGCCGGCATTCCAAGTCTGGCTTTGTCATTTACTAGCTATGGAACTCAAGTCCTGTCGGACAAAGTTCTTGACCCCTGAAATTTTCCTTTGCTCCAACGTGGTCCTTGTCAGGTGGGGCATGACTGTGCAAGAAAGAGTGACAGAAGAGCTAGGAGAAGAGCATGAGATGAGATGAGTCAGGAAACAGGACTAGGAAGGATTGAGTAAAAGAAGGTTCTGGAAAGGGGGAAAGAATTCAGAGAAATAAACAGGACTAGGAGGGTAGCTAACGTTAATCAATCACTTCCCATGTGGCAGGCACTATTTTAAGTGCTTTCTGTGGAGCCGGCCGGCGCTCTCTGGAGTCATAAAACCCCCCTCGGGGGCTCTTTGTACTTTCAGGATTAAGGTTAGTGTGTTTTGGCATGGCCTCCACCAACCTGGAGGAGAAGAGGGCTGGATTGTCATCGGGTGTCTGAGTAATCTCTCTTAGTCTGGTATAATTCACAGGTTTTATTATGGCCTTTTTCATTCCATTCAATTAAACAAGTAATCATATGATTACAGTATGTTGTCCCAGCGTCCCTTTCTTGATATGTCCATTGGGGATTTGAGTCGGGGACTGATTCTTTTCCAGACCTAGATGTGTTTCTAGTGTCAGAATCTTGGCCGGCTCGAGTGTGGACCTCGTCAGCCCAGCACTGAGCCAAGGACCAAACACGAACTTTTTCAAGTACAACAGGTGGTGAAAATGACAAATATATCCTGCTAGGTCAAGTCAAAGGCTGCGGTGGGGGCCTGAAGTTCTTGTATAAAGCGGGAAGGGTCCTGGCTAAAAGAGCTCACCTTGGCATGTACTTATGAGAGATAAGACACAGGGAAAGGGACATGGACCCAAAGGGTGCCCACCTGGCCGTCAGCAACCTCAGGAAGGGGTAATGTGTTTCCTTGTTTGGGGGCTTCAGGAATGGCAGTCTTAAGTGGGGATGCTGGTTCTATTGTGTCGTAAATAGCACCTGGCCTAGTATGTGATGGGGAGAGAGGGCTCTGATAGGGACAGGGAATAGGGGATGGTACTTGGAGGTCCAGGAGCCGAAAGGGAGAGAGGTGGAGGAAGGAGAGGGGGAGGTTGGGGGTGTCCCAGGGCTGCGGGCACCCGAGGCAGCAGAGGCAATGAAGGCTATAGAGAAGGGGTCTGGTTGCTGTTGTTGTTAGCAACCCGGGAAAGGAGGGGGTCATCTAGAATATCAGGTTGGTCATCAGATATTAAAGGTGGGTTTCCTAAAAATCCAGTGAGACACATGCGGCATCCTTTGGGGGTTCAGAATCTTGGCGTAGAGCCATAAAGGCCTGTACGTAGGGAACCTCAGACCACTTTCCCTGCTTGTGACAGAAGAGATCAAGCTGATGTATGGTGTTATAATTTAAGGTCCCTTTAAGGAGCCATGTCTCCTGATCTGGAACCTGACATTGCGGCCAAGCAGTGTTCCAGAATAAGACAAGCT